GCTAATAAAAATTCAAATAGTAATTTGAGTAGAGACTTCTATTTCCAACAAGAACTTTTGAAGATAAAAATGATTATTCAGTTTCATAAGGATAGAACCTCTAGAAAATCAAAATTCAAATTTTTCAGATCGAAGAGTTTGTAAATATAATTCTGTTTGAACGACAGAACAAATAAATCTCTACAAAATGAAACATCTTTCTAAGACGTTTTTTTCACTGATGAAAAAACCTCATCAGATGTCCTCTTCCAATTGCAATGATTTTTTTTTGCCAATAGATACAACATAGTATGCTAATAGAAATCCTAAAAGGATTTAAGTTCCCTATTGACATTTGACAAAGCTATCGAATTTTTAATATCGAAATATAAAGCTTTCAAAAAAAATTGGCTATTGTATACGCTATCCATGGAAAAGAGTCTATGTTTTGAAAGTCTCATATCTCGAAGAGACTTTGTTCAAAACTAGTAATTCTTTTTGTATTGAAGCTAGTCTAGTTGAATTCTCTGTATACACAAAGCTTTAGATTAAAATTCGAAAACAAAAATTTTCCGAAAATCTTGAACCTCTCAGAAAAAAATTTGATAGCTTGATAAAATCTTAATATGAACTCAAATCCTTTTAGAGATTCTATTAGAACATTATGTAGTATCTAGAGGCAAAAAAAAGCATCATGGAAATTGGATGGAGACATTTGAGAGAATTTTCCCATGAGATAGATCAACCTTATAGAAGGACAAAGTTGATTTTTTTCTGTTATTCCCTATGGAACCACCACATTTTTTGCTTTTCGTGAGATTGATCTATCTCAGTCAAAAAATATCGTTGACAGATGAAAGACATTTTATGTCATAGAGATTTGTTTATTCTACCATTCAAACAGAATTATATTTACAAATCCTTGGACTTGAATAACTTGAAGTTTTAGTTTTTCAGAGACCTTGCTCTCGTTAAACTGTCAACCATCTTTATCTATAAAAGATCTTATCGAAAATAAAATTTTCTACTCAAATTACTATTCAGGTTTTTATTTCTGTTTACATCAACGAAAAAAAAAGAATTCTCTGAGATGCTGTATCATCTAATGCCTTACAGACTGGAGAAAAATATTATACAAATCTGTATTTCTTATCAGACATTTTGTATATATGTAAAAAACCCATCAGTCTAATTGAGTTCAACCTGTTATCTATATCATTCTAACAAAAACAAAGCAATACAACTACTCGCGAGACGATATTCACACAGTATGTCTATATCGTTTATTAGATTAGACATAAATATCGTATTTTTCTTTCTTGCTCTATCGAATATTTATGCTCATCTTGTTCATATTAACTTTTTTTTTTCTAATATTTGATTACTACAACAAATGTCTTGCACGTGCTGCATAGAATATTTAATCATTCTGTTTTATTTTTTGTTATTAGATCAATTGAATTGAATGAGATCGAAGAGAAAAAAAACGAAAGATATATATATATATATACATATTAACTGAATAATCATTTTTTTATTTGACAGTTTGATGTGTTGACAGTCTTTTCAACATTTGATATATTATTTATGATGATTGAACAGAAAGAAAAGCCTTGATTTGCCAATCATCACATTCAACATTTCTATAATCATAAACAACTAAACAAGATGAGATAGGTAATCGTATTTATATTATAGTAGAATTAGAAAACAAATAATTTCATATAAGAAAGCAATTTAATACTGTCATATGAAGTCTGACGACAATAATGACAAGCGTCAATACTTATGTGTCTGACACAAGTAAACGAATGAGTATTTCTACATATGTATATATGTGTGTGTGTGCAAGAGCGTCAAAATCTAATTGACTCAGATAGACACGCGTCTGTGTCTTTATATTATATGGTACAAGTAGACTAAAAGACAATAAGTGTATTTGTCACTTGAATCACGCACAGTAGGAAAACTAATTGTGCTCGAAACACAAATGAAGTATATGTGTGAGGTGTGATCTATTCAATGATAGAATCACCTGATATAAATATTATATGTATACACATCGATCTTGTCAAAATTTAAAAAATCAATGAGATGCATCATCATTCAATTTGTATGCACGCCGTTTGATCTTCTTTTTTTTCTTTTTCTTTTTCTCTTATTCAAAAATCCCTTTTGAACAAAAGGCAATGAATATTCTATTTATTGTTTTTGTATATGTCGCTCTTTTATAGTCAGCTTTAATCCACATACTCAACTTAGATATCTTTTCTCTTCCTATTCCTAATTCCATTAGTCTAAGTTTATTTTTCTTTTCTTTCTCTTCGTCTTTTCCCTCATCGTCTCTCTTCAATCATCACTAGCGAAAGAGAGAGAGAGAGAGAGAAAAGAAAAGAATAAGCATAATCTTCGTTCATCTTCTTTTGTACACGTTCTTTCTCATTCATCTCATATGTCGTTGTTCATCAACTAGTACCAACATTTTCTGTTGAAAAGAAAAAAAACGTAGTTACTTTATTACACAATCAATTGCAAACAAATATCATATGCAGTTTGTGTGTATATGTCAAACAGTGATGCAAAAGTGTCAAATTGATGATGATGTTTCAACTTAAACAAGTATTTTTATTTATTCTTAGTAAGTTATTATCTTATTTAAATATGTCGATTTGATTTTTGATCGTGTGTCTGTTTTTTCTTTTCTATTAGTTGTCTTCATGATAAAATTAACAATAGCT